TACAAGCCATTACTTTTTCCTGGCTCTTCTCGGCAGCAGAGCAGTGTCAGAGAGTGTAAATCATGGCATCTCTAGCAGGGAGCGTGCAAGCACCACTGACATTTTCACAATTTAAATCATCTTGAGTAATAACCCTTTTAAGATGACTAATGTTACTGATTTTCCTGCATTAATAATAGTGCCAGATAGAACACAGAAGGGAAAAATCACCAGTGCACGAGGTCACATTTTAAAACTAAATGTGTAGGTATATTTAACTCTTGATGTAAAAGCCACTTCACCCTGAACATTTACACACCTGGAGCAGCCTGGCAGGTCACAATTTCAAACACATGCCTGACTTCTTTTCCCTGCCAATTCTAAAGGATCTGGCCCGACTGCTTTCCAGATTTTCCCCGAGCCCTGAAGCTGAATAAACAAAGCTGATGGATGAAGAATCTTGCTGTTCTCATTTACTGTTTCAGAAAACACACGATACAGGGATGGATAATAATTTAGTCATATTTTGTGGCACCTCTAGAACTACCAAGTGACACAGAAAACTGGGGCTGTGTTACAGGGCGTGACTGGTACTTGGAGCACCCCGAGCTCTGCTCAGACTCTGATGACTGTACAGCTCAGGAATTCTGATCACAGACACTGCTTGATCAAATCAGTTGCTTCCAAATTACACATTTTTAAGCCTAAAGCTGTTTGAAGGAAGGAAAAAACCCTGCTTGGGGAAGGCAGTCAAGCCACCTATCACTGAAAAACATTCCCTCCACTGCGAGGTTCCAAAGGAAAAGGTTGCTCATATGTTAAAGAAACTTGTAGATGCTTCACACAAAGGTGCCTGACTCAGTTTCTCCTGGTGCTTCAGACCCTCTTTATACTGTTTCTGTCTCAGCTTTCCTGCCTTCAGCACAGTCAGGGAATCAGAACACAGCTCCAGAGACCCCAGCTACAACCTGTGGGCTTGGAGCAGAGCTGGGCAGAGGGGCATGGGAATGGCTGTGCAGGGAACCAGTGTTTGGCCCAAGGGGTTTGCATCAGGCTTCAAAAAACCTAAAAGGAGACATGTTCCTGAAGCTCACTCTGTTGGAATGGATAGGGTTGCAGGAGTTAGAGAAGAAAACTCCTCACTGGTAGGAAGGGGCCAGGCATGGGGAGATGGCACAGAACTAGCTTGGGGTCTCCTACCCAGCTCTGTGTTTATTCAGAACACGTTGTATGTGAAACGGAACTATTAAAATAGCTGAACAGCAAATCTGAAGGTTTAGTGTTTAAGAATGTTGTTTGATTGCCCAGAAATGAGGTCATCAAGAGATGCCTGTGAGAAATGGTTATCTAGAAAGCATGACAGGGAACCCTCCGTGCTGCAGGGTCACTGCTGCTCAAAGCCACCTGCACCAGCTGCATGGAGGGAAGGGAAGCAAAGAGCCACAAAACTGCACGGAGGCTTCAGCTTCTGCCCTAACCCCAGGAATCCCTGCCTGCCCACGTCCCCTTCCCTATGACACCATCACTGCAGGGTGCCAGGAGCCCCAGGGTGGGCAGCCTTACCTGCCAGAAGCAGAGGTGGCTGTCGGAGTTGGAGTAGGTGGCGAGGTAGCGGCCGTCGGGCGCGAAGGCCACCGCGGTGATGGCTCCTTTGTGGCCGTGGATGGTCTGCCAAGGGGGAGAGAACAGCACAGAGGGGACTCACCAGCTGTCACCACCATGAGGCTGGCGAGGCAGACACAAACCACAGGGACATCACCTTCTAGAAACCTTTTTTGGAAAACCGAGGGAGACTCGTTATCGCCAGTCCCACCCCTATGGGTGCCATGTGGAAACACCTCTTCATTCCCACCTGCCTTCTCTGGTGTTCCCGTCTGGGTTTCTGGCTGTCAGTGTGTCAGGCAGCAAAGCTCTCCAGCAGAGGTTGGCTCCTGTTGGCCAGGGAGGGCAGGAGGTGGCAAGTGCTGCTCCTGCACACCCAAAGGAGCAGGATGACATGTAATTCCTGCCGTGTCACACGCAGGGTCCTGTGCTTAGCACAGACAACCCCCTTTCCTCAGGGCACTTCAATACCCCTACACAACCCCAAACACGAAAGCACACCATTGAAATGTCTTCTTAAGTGGGACTTAAGACATGCTGCTCAGCATTAACTACCACGACAATTGCTTTTAAGCAGCTGCTGAGACAAAACACAGAATTTAATAACCCTTTACAGCTCACCTCTGTGCACAGACAACTGCTGCACTGAGTCCTCTCCAGCCCATCAAGCACCAGCCATCCTGCTGTTGCAACGTGAAGGATCTAGGCATGTTTACCCATTGAACCCTCATTAAATAAAAGTAGGCTACAAAAATATAAGGAGCACCCCTGAACCTATCACCAGGACAGTGAAAGATGGACACAAACTCAGAATGGCATATTGTATCTAATTTCAGCCTTGCATATTAAGAGCCCATTAACAGACACTTTTCTTGTATATCCTGCAAAAGGTGAGTGTGTATTAGAAAGGGTGTGGTTAGTAGGTCAAGGGAGGTTCTCCTCCCTCTCTGTTCTGCCTTGGTGAGGCCACATCTGGAGTATTGTGTCCAGTTCTGGGCCCCTCAGTTCCAGAAGGACAGGGCTTGAAAGAGTCCAGGGCAGAGCCACAAAGATGAAGAAAGGAGTGGAACATCTCCCTGCTGAGGAAAGGCTGAGGGAGCTGGGGCTGTTGGGCTTGGAGGAGACTGAGGGGCGACCTCACCCATGGTTACAAACACGTTCAGGGCAGTGTCAGGAGGACAGAGCCAGGCTTTGTGCAGTGATGTCCAGTGACAGAACAAGGGGCAATGGGTGCAAACTGGAGCACAGGAGGTTCCATGTGAATCTCAGGAAGAACTTCTTTGCTGTGAGAGTGACAGAGCCCTGGGACAGGCTGCCCAGAGAGGCTGTGGAGTTTCCTTCTCTGGAGACATTCCAACCCCCCTGGCCACGTTCCTGTGTGATGTGCTCTGGGTGCCCCTGCTCTGGCAGGGGGGTTGGACTGGATGATCTTTCCAGGTCCCTTCTAACCCCTAAGATTCTGTGAACTCCAATAGAATCCCAAACCTCCCTCTGTAAACATCATCACTGCAGCTCAGGATGAGAGCTTGAAAGGGCAATTAATTAAATGATCTGTTGTTTAGACCCATCAAACTCCTTAGCACTTAACAAGCAAGTAATACTTGTCAATAAAATATGTTTTGGTAATACAAAGGTAGAAAATCAATAGTACTAGCACACTTGTTGCTCTTTTTACTACTGAAAATGTGTTCCAATAAGTACAATCCTTAAGGGAATTAATCTGCTTTGTTATTTAAAGGAAGTGCTTCTCTAATTGATGCTAATCCTTTCAAGCCAAGATTTATTTTCCAGTGTCTGAGCGCCTGCTTTGCAATGTGCATTTTGTGTTTCTGAGGAGGCCAAGGGAAAGAACAACTAAACCAAGGGACTGTTGCTCAAGCAGAAGTTCCCCTGGCAGCCCCACACATGGTGCTGAGCCTGCCCTGGCTGGAGGGGAGAGCAGCTGTGCCCCAGCAGCAGCCCAACATTCTGCCCCTCTGCTCTGGTCAGACCCCACCTGGAATACTGTGTCCAGTTCTGGAGCCCTCAGCACCTGGAAGATATAGACCTGTTGGAGAGGGTCCAGAGAGGGGCCACCAGGATGATGAGAGGGCTGGAGCAGCTTTGCTATGAAGACAGGCTGAGAGAGTTGGGGTGTTCAGCCTGGAGAAGAGAAGGCTCCAGGGAGACCATATAGTGTCCTTCCAGTGCCTGGAGGGGCTCCAGGAAAGCTGGGGAGGGACTTTTCACCAGAGAAGACAGTGATAGGACAAGGGGTGATGGTTTTAAACTGAGAGAGGGGAGGTTTAGGTTGGATATTGGGAAGAAATTCTTCGCTCTCAGGGTAGTGAGGAGCTGGAATGGGTTGCCCAGGGAGGTTGTTGATGCCCCATCCCTGGAGGCTTTTAAGGCCAGGTTGGACGAGGTTTTGTGCAGCCTGGTCTAGTGGTTCCCTGCTCATGGCAAGGGGGTTGGAACTTGGTGATCTTTAAGGTCCCTTCCCACCTTAATGACTCTGTTCTAACAGCCTCCAAACACTCCCTCTTGGGAACTGCTTCCAAGCCCCCTCTGCAGGTCTCCAGCTCCTGGGCAGCTCCATGAGCACACAATGAACTCCCTGCAAAAATCCGTGCGGCTCTGCTGCAGGGAACAGCCTGGGAGCAGCAGCACTGGTGGGACACAGGGCAGCTGTTTGCAGCTTCTCTCTGCCCAAGCAATTGTTTCTTAATGGCAGGAGGCTCCTGGGAGACTATTTGACTTCTGCACCTGCCACCGTCGTCATCCCGCAGCACATGATATACTGAGGCTGTGACAACCTAATTCTCAGCCCAGTATTTGGTAAACTCTACACTGAACTGCAATATTCTGTCCAAGGTGACATAAAAAATAAACACTGCATCACTGCAGCAATTTTGTTTTCATAAATACACCGAAATGCATACTTTGAATGGATAGAGTAATTGATGTGCTGCCATAGAGACACACTCATATTTTACCACCTTTATCATGAGGTATTTATAGCCCTGATCTCTAGGGGTACCTTAACTAAAGTGAAACAAAAACCCCACGTCCTGAGAAAGCCACGTGCCTGACGTGTCCTTCGGTGCCCACCCGTGGGGGACGTGCAGCAGCAGAGGGCTGAGCAGCTGAGCAACACCCTTAACCTGGTGTGCCTGTGCCTGGAGCAGCAGGAAAAGGCCAGCTATGGCTTTTGCTCGGGATACAAACTGTCTCTGGGCAAGGAGTGGTTATTTGAAAACAAAGGAGGAGGTGACTCTGCAGCTCCTCCACACACCAGCGAGGAGTCCCTGGCAGGGACTTCATGGGCACTTTCAGCAGCCAAGCTGGGGGTACCTGCCCCAGAAAGCTCCTGGGAGTGGTCTCCAGGGAGCAGGCAGAAATGCAGCTTCATAGGAGGACAGAAACACACCCCACAGCTCATCCCACTACGGGCAAAGCACAATAAAAGACAGTTAACAACTGCAATGTTAAGCTGGAAACGGTTGGTGTTGATGGCACCACTGACCAAAGTCACTCTCCCTCTACTTCCCCCCCAGCTAAATAAAAGCCAATGCACGTTTAGAATAGATCTTAATAAACAGAACTGGGTCTGACAGATGAGGCAGAGCCTGCCCTCCCTGCAGGCACCAGGAGGGACCCCAGCTGCCACGGACCAGGCCCAGGACCCAGTTTTCTTTTTTTCTTCAGAGATAGTGAATATTCTCTCTTTGTGGCAACGCTCCTTCCTGGGCTCCTCCACATTTGTCTTCTCATGCCTTGTGGCTCCTCACATCATACTTTGACCTGACAGACTTCTTGATTTCAGGGTACATGCACTTAGGATCAGGACCTGCAGCAGAGTGGTACCAGGGACTTTCAGCAGATGGTAGAAGCCCCCACTTGCCATGAAGCTGCTGACCTCTCCTTTCCAGCAGCAGTTGCTGTAGCTGTGCCCCTCAATACTGACCTGCAGCCAGGAGGTTTCTAAGCTCCACAACCCTGGTTCTCCCACAGATTTCCAGAGAGGGGGCACAGCAGCAAGCAGGGAACCACATGGACCCTGCCCAGGGATGGGCACACGAACATCATCTACTCACATCTCCACAGCACAACCAGGTTGCTGTGTTTTAATTCGGTTTTCATGGAAGTTATGCTCGATTCTGAAGAACATGAAACATAAAAGTCCTACACTTAAAAGTCCTGAATAAGGTAAAATACCTTTGTGTTTTAAAAGAAGAAGGAAACACCCTCCTTCACAGCTGTCCTCCCTGGAGGAGCTGGCCCAGAGAGGTGTGCCAGTGCCAGGCACCCTCAGCTTCTGCTTTTTTATGAAAACAAAGTGACACAAACTAAATGGCTTCACCTGAAAAGACAGCTAAAATATGATCTCATTTTTCTTACCAAAGTCAAGTCTTTCAGAATGGCCCTTCAGAGACTTTGATGGACACTTTAAAAACTAAATCCCTAATTTTCAAGCAATTTAGTGGAAATATCTAATATACCATTAACTTCAAACAGTTTCAGTATCTTTAATAATTTATTTTCTATGTTAGTTCCAGGAGTACTAATATCTGCAGTACAAATTGCAGGACTGCACTGAGAAGAGCAGCACATTTTCATCTTTAAATTAATTTTCTTCCTGTCCATCAAGCTTCTCAGTATCAAGACGAAGTCAAAGCCCCCACATTACATTTTTAAATGGAATAAAAGGTATAACTCGATTTTTAGCCTGCCAGCCAGGGTGTTTTGCACCAGTCCCTGCAATCAGCCAGTGCTCAGATGTGCTGTGTGGGATCTGGGGGCAGCCCTCTGCGGGGGCACCGCGTGCCCTCGCCCGGCCGCGCTCGCGGCGGCTGCGGGGCTGTCACTCACTATCTGCCTCTCATTTGTTAGGATCCTCTCCTGCTGTGAGCCCCTCATTACAATTTGCTTTTACTTCCTGGGCAAATGACAACCAGAAAATGAGGCAGCTTCTTTCTCAACCGAACTTAATCCAGAAGAAATGAGATGACAGCTGCAGCCACCCAAGTGTTACGGGATGGGTTCAAGCCGCCCCCGAACCGTTGGGCTCCAGCCCCAAACCCCTT